GCCCGCGCCCCCGGGCTGCGGCCGCGGCGGAGGGCTGCCAGGGCCCAGGCTCCGGCTCCGAACGGGCGTGCCTGCTCGGGGTGAGGCTGGGCCCGGGCAGAGTGGGAGCCGCGAAGCAGGTTCACACAGTGGACACGCACGCTTTTACTTCAGGTTTTATTTTGCCTCTTGCATGGTCTTCAGAGTTTTACAGTTCGTTTTCTACAGGAACTGAGCTGCGATCTAGACAGTCGGTGAAATGTCATTCCAACCTTAATACAGACTCATAACCACGGGACAGCAGAGCTCTTTCGGCTCAAGTGACGCCAAGTGGGCGCGTTTCAGTCAGCACCTGTGAGCAGACCAGCCCAGGTGATTAAAAGTCAAGATAAAAACCAAGAGCAAACCTGCTAAAATCCTGATTCCATGAGGCTGACCCTGAAACCCTGCAGATGAAAGGCGGAAGTGTCCGCAGGGGTCGAAGGTGACGCACCCCGACTCCCGCTCGGCCTTCCATCGGCGGGGATCTTCCTAGCTCCGGCCTCAAAACCGCAACTGCGTTCCAGCCCTCCAACGCTTCGCACCCTTCGACCTCAAAACAAAGGTCCCTTCCTTTCCCCCCTTGCTCTCTCCCGTGGGCCAGGGCCCAATCGCGGGCCTTGGCTGGAAATCACCAGGACCACTTAAGAACATGCTTTATGCCTCTCAAGCCCACATGGTGGAGTTCTGGAAGGAAAATTTCTCTAGCTTCCTTCTCCTCGCCGCTCTCCCCTCGCTCCGCTCAAAGTTAAACAGCTGATGCAAAACTGCAGGGAAGATATCAAGGTACTGTTATGAGTCTAGAGAGAAGTCAGCCAGCCATGATGGAAAAAAAAGAATCCTGCAGATTAACGGACAGCCTCATGCTCAGAACCCTTAAAAACATCAATGCTAAATTAAACACATGAAGCTTTCAGAATCCGTGGTTAAAAGAAAATGGTAACTATAAATCATCGAAGTGTGCTCATTCTTTTAAAAATTAGATACAAACATGCAAGAATTAAAGACTCTGATTTAATAAAAACCAGTATTAACAGGTCTTGAGATTAAAGGACAACTGATCCAAGGGTAACTGGGACCACTCAGTCCCCAAACCCTGCTTGACAGATGTCAAAACCAACATCTCACTTCACATGCTGACTTGCTACTGAGGTTAATTTCTGTAAGTGACTGCACTCTGCAACAGATTAAGACCTATAAAATTAGGCTCTCGTACCCAAAATGGACATGGCCTAGGCCTAGGTGGGAGGCACTTTAAAAATAATAAAACCTTAAAAAAAAAAAAAAAATCCCCAAACCAAAAGATAAAAGTAAAGAAAATCCACTTCCACTGATTTACATTATTGAAAGTGCCATCCTGAACCAACACCCTTTCATTTTCAAGAGGAAAAAAAAGTTACAAAAGCAGAAAACACAAAGGATAGTCAGGTTACAGCTAGTTTATATACAAAGAAATTTACAGGTTTGTTAATTTTAGGCTTTTGTCACACACAACTGCACATTTGTCCCTACAAAGCACAACATAACCAGAACCAATGGTCACTACAGGAGACAATTGGCCATGGCTTTACAGAAAGCAGAAAAACTGCCCAAAATTAAAATCGTTTATTCGGCTTAAACTAATGCCACAACCATCCCACTGGGAATCTCTCCACCCTAAAGCCTCTGAAACCCACCAAATCGTTCCCGTCTCTGCCATGTCCCTGAAGACGAGACATTTCATTCAATAAACCAGGAGGGTGGCAGAAGTCATTTTGACTACTCTTGGGGGAGAAACGCAACCACACTGGATGCAAAAAATTGTGCTGACTGCATTTATTGAAGACCCCTCCCCAAATAATCCCAGGTAAGAGGTTGTGGCACCTGACACACACCCTATAAAGGAGGCCGCATCTCTGTTTCATACAGGACCTGCAGCAATGCTATCTTCTTCCAATCAGGGAGTAGTGTGAAAGTGAGCCGGTAAGTTTTACACTGTGGTCTTTGTTCCAATCCAATTGGCTATCGTTTGTTGCCACTCAGAAGCTGAACCGGGGGGTGATCTCAACCACCACTCACAAGGTGGAGTTCGACTTTTGGGCAGCTCATGGTGCCGACAAATGTCACAGGCTCCGACCAAGTATAACCACATCCTTTGGAAATCCTTCCATTTTTGCAATTTCAAAACAGCCTAACTTGCTGTAAAACTCCAGAATTCTTTTATCATCTGGTCTCACTTCACAGAAAGCTCCCCGGGAGCCTAGAAATAAAACACATATTCAAAACATAAATAAGTCACATAATTAGTATAATTGGGGATATGAAGTTGTAATTAGTCCATACTTAAATACAAATAATAAGGGCTGTATCAGCTATATCAGCTCCTAAATTCATACCACAATTTCTAAAATTCATATTAATATTCAACAATGAGTTAAATTCTTCCCCAGAAAGAAAATCTTTCAGGGACAGGGTACAAGAAACTTCAATGCAAAGTAAACCTCTTCAAAACATAAAAAGCACCTTGTAGGGGCCCCTACAGCAGAGCCTATTCCTGTCACAAGCCAATATACCCAGAATGCCATATATTCTTAAGACATGGTTCATCTATCTGTGTGATTGAGCCCCAAGTACAGCACCAAAAGAATCCTTTCTTCGGATAAAGTTAGTTCCGTTATCCCCCAAGGGCAATTCCACAGACTCGAATCACATGGAGCTGTAACAACAGACCAGGTGCCTCCTTGTGAAACAACCCTTGCATGAGGGCTTGACAAACTACCCATTTTTTTAATGACCCAAGGGCTAAAAACGGGCTTTGACATTTTAAAGACTGTTTCTAAAACATGAAAAATATGCCACAGAGACCATATGCAGCCCTTAAAGCCTAAAACATTTACTCTGCAGAAAAAGTTTTCTTCCCACTGATGTAAAGCTAAATATTTTGAAGGGTCTGTTTAGACAAACTCTCAAGCAAAACCCGCCTTCCTAAATGAGGTTTCTTTCTTGGGGTCATTCAGTTTTCCACTGTTTCTTATGGGCCTCCTGGCAAAATGAATCCTCAATATGCTCACACTTCTCATTTCATTTGTTCACGGGGTAAAAGAAGAGCAGCATTTTTCAATGTTCAATGCAGAGGCTATTCTTACACCGTTTTCTTAAAAAAAAAAAACTCGTAAGAAGTGGGAAGGGGCGTATAAATTCACAACTCACTTCTCTCCTTTTCTGTCCTGAAGTATGGTCGTGTCCCTACCCTTGCCCACTCCACACTATTACTCACCATTAGCCTTCAGTGAAGACAGGAGACAAGCCATCATGCTTTTGGCCACACTTGGGTCAGTTACTTTTTTGTGAATATCCATTTTTATCAGAGAAGGAAAGTTGGCAAGAAAAGTCTCTGGCAATACTTCCTGTTCTTCGTGGAAACTCAACATTATTTTCTGCAAAAACCAGAAAGCACTCTTGACCTTCAGCAGCTACCCAGTGTGCAATCTATACCCCAACTATAGAACTCAGCAACAGGAAAAAGTAGGCGATATTTAACAACCCTTCCAGGCATTACATAAGTATCACACACAGAATTCATTAGCTTGTAATTCTAGCTGAAGCATTTTCACTTTGAAAAATAAGTTTGTTGGCTGGGCACAGTGGCTCATGCCTGTAATCCCAGCATTTTGGGAGGCCCAGGTGGGAGGATCGCTTGAGGCCAAGAGATTGAGATCAACCTGGGCAATGTATTGAGACCCCATCTCTAAAAAAATAAATAAATAAAAATGACTTTTTAAAAATAAAAATATTTTAAAAAGACACAAAAGAAGTTAAAATAATTTTTTAAAGGAAAAAAAAAGTTTGTCTAATTGCAACATGGTACTGGATTCTGGAAAAGAGAAAGGACATTAGTGCAGAAACTGGTGAAAAAATTTGGCGCTTGGTTAACAGCAACGGACCAGTGTTGGGTTTCTTAGGTTTAAAAAATGCAGAAAATGGGTGAGGCATATTCAAGAACATATTAACTTTGCAACTTTTATGTAAATCTAAAATTATCTAATATAAAAAATATTTTAAGCCAATGTATTGCATACACAAAAAAGAGAATGTACTTAACACTACTGTACATTTAAAATGGTTAAGGTCAATTTTGTTATATGTATCTTACCACAGTTTTTTTTTAAGTTAGTAATAGACATACTGGTCCTTTCTGATATGTCCTTAATACTGAAAAGTCAACTGTCAGATAACTGACAATGCATCAACAGCTCAATCACCAGCCTACTACAGTGTTCACATAATCCCAAGCAGGGCTGCTCCAAACCAACCCTGTTACAAAAGCCATATAGCTAAGGGCAAGAGGTAAAATATAGAAATTATAAAAAAAGAATGTGAGGCCAGGCTGGGTGGCTCATGACTTAGCACGTAGGGAGGCCAAGCTACGAAGAGTGCCTGAGCCCAGAATTCGAGACCAGCCTAGACAATATAGCAAGACCCTGTCTCTACAATAAAACATTAGCCAGGCATAGTGGTGCACGCCTGTAAGTCCCAGCTACTCAGGAGGCTGAGGCAGAAGGATCGCTTGAGCTTAGGAGTTTGAGACTGCAGTGAGCCACGATTGTGCCATTGTACTCCAGTGCTGGGAACGAGTGAGATCCCAACTCCAAAAAAAAAAAAGAGAATGTGAGTACTCCGGTGTGGGGGGGAGAATTTTAGAAATGGAGAATAGTAAAATGGAAGAAAAGAATGATGACACTAATAAGGGCCCAAATATATACCTTGAGTCGTCACCGAGCATAGAAATTATCCTCCAGAAGAAACTCCCCCCCCTTGAGTTGGAGTCCAGATGATCCTCCACCTCAGCCTTCCAATAGCTGGAACCACAGGCATGTGCCGTCATGCCCGGCTAACTTTGCTGATTTATTGTAGAGACAAAGTCTCGCCATGTTGCTCAGGCTAGTGTAGAACCCCTGGGCTCAGGCAATTCTCTCGCCTCCGCCTCCTAAAGTGCTGGAATTACAGGCGCGAGTCACCGCACTTGGCCTATTATTAATTACAATGTAAACTGCATTACTGAGAAGGCAAGTTAGCCTCCTGACAAACCACCAAATAAGAGACTTTCATTACTTAACCTTGCTACAAGTACCCCAAAAAAGTCCCATAATAATCTTCATGTTTAGTGCTTTAAAACAAGATAACAGGTCAGACATGGTGGCTCAAGCCTGTAATCCCAGCACTTTGGGAGGCCGAGGTGAGAGGACTGCCTAAGCCCACAGGTTTGAGAATAGCCTGGCCAACTTGGCAAGACCTCATCTCTGCAATAAGTTAAAAAAAAAACAAAACAAAAAAAACTAGCCGGGCATGGTAGCACACACCTATAGTTCCAACTACTTGTAAGGCTGAGATAGAAGGATCCCCTGAGCCCAGCAGGTCGACTGCTGGGGTGGCTCTGAGTGTGCTACTGTGCTACTGCACTCCAGCACTCCAGCCTGGGCGACGGGGTGAGACTTCAACTCAAAAAAAAAAAAGAAACAAAGTTCTTTGTCTAAATTATATTTTTACTTGAAGATACAGTACAACAGCGTTCCCAAATCAAAACCTGTCCCAGTGTTGAGGAAACAGTGAAAAAGATCATGTGATGAATAAGCCCCAAGAAACTTTTTCTGCAAGAAATTCAGAAAGCATGAAGTTTATGATGCACCTGCATACTTTTCTATTTTAACACATTCGTGACCACTGACGTGAATTTACATCACTCCAAATTCTATTCCTGGTCGCCGCTGATGTGAACTGCCTCATCATAGAAGACTGTCTTTTTGGTTTATAATCCGAATAAAAATACAAAATACAGAATGCTAGTCACAGTGGTCTCTGTGGCAAATACTGGATATGTCTGCAACTTTCAGCTGTATTGTGAAAAAGGTGACAATTTAGAAAAGACCATTTCATCACCTGTACTCAACCACAGAAGTTGGCGGCAGCCAGGTTCAGATTTTTAAAAAATTCTCACCTGCAATAAATAAATAAAATAATTTTCACCAGCTATCAGTATTAGGAAAGCGAAAAATTTGCCAGCCACGAATGCATTAGTGAGTACTTTATTAAAAAAAAAACAAAAACAAGAACACCATTACAGACTAATTCTTAATCTGTGTATTACCTCAGCCTCAGAGAGTTCCTTGTCACCATTTGGCTTGGTATACTTTTCCTGCATGAAGGGAATCCAGGAAATTTTACATTTTTTAATAAAGGGGGTCACATCTACAGTGCCCAGGGCATAACCACAAATGCCATCTTCATCTTCTAGGACAAAGCAATAATCCAGGCTGAGGGAAAGCAGCCCTCCTACTAACCTGTTTAGAAGGAAAGAGGCCAGAGTGAACATTCCAGTTACTAACACAAAACTCAAGCTTAGGTGAAGCAAGCTCAATGTACTTGAATAAATTACTACGTTTTGCATAAAAACTGGAAATGGGCCTGGCCTGGTGGCTCAGCCTGTAATCCCAGCACTTGGGAGGCCAAGGCGAGTGGACTGCCTGAACCTGTGGGTTCGATACCCGCCTAGGCAACTTGGCGAGACCTCATCTCTACAATATATCCAAAAATTAGCTGGCGTGGTAGCATGTGCCTGTAGTTCTGGCTACTTGGAAGGCTGAGGTAAAAGGATCGTCCTGCAGGTCGACGCTGGGGTGGCCGTGAGCGTGCCCCAGCACTCCAGCCTGGGGGACAGTGCGAAATTCCAACTCAAAAAAAAAAAGAAACTGAAAATGCACCCATATTAATATTCAGATTGTACTAAAACTAAAGTTGTTTAACTCTAGCCAGCACCTCCCCTCAACCTGATAAACCTAGCTGTGAAATGTCTACTATCAAAGACAAATACTCATCACATACTTGTCTCCAATAAGGTCAGGCTGACTTTGAAAAGGTAAACCCACTCCATCGTCATACATTTCTCTGCAAATCTTGTACACTGAAGCCTGAAAATATAATCTAGTTAAGCAACACATCAAGAAAAATGGCAGCAGAATCTAACAATATGACTCACAAGTCAGTCTGGGGGAGGAGTGACGAAATGCCTGGCCATCAGAAACACCATCTCTACTTTGTTAAACACAGATTTATTCACTGAGTCAGATTTATAAAACCAGCAGAAAACAGCAAGGCTTTAGTAAACACCGAGAACTCTTTGCAGACGATGGTTTTTGTAGTAAGCTGTGGATTCTAAGGCCAGCAACTTCAAGGTTGAGGGCCTCCCATTTTCCGCATGTGAAGGACACTTCTAAAATGTGTATCCCTCCTGTTACTGTCTTTGAACAGGCTGGCTTTTTTCTATAGCTGATTGTCAACAGCCTGTAGGTACTTCACAACTGACAATTCCAGAATGCTAAGATATTAGAGGAAATCAGACAAGGACAACCTATCATTTAGACAAATTAACTGTTTTGTAATTCCAAGTCTGAGTACGTGGCATCTGGCTTTTTATAGGGAGAAATTTAAGAACTTGGCACAAAATGTTAGGAATCTGAACTCCTTAGGTCCTTCCTCAAATTTCTCCACATATGTTGAATGTTTTAGTTCACTTTCTACATCTAAAGTTTGTATTTTAAAACAGAACATATTTCTTTAACCCGTGATTCAAAGACAGACTAAGTGTGCACCATAACCATACACCAAGTTGGTGGGAAGATAATTACCTCATCTTTAGGAAAATATGGTCTGATAGTATACACCTTGGAGGTAGGAGTCAGTGGGGGTGGTTGAAAAAAGAGATCATTTGCCCCATCAATTGGCAGCAAACGCTGTGGGAAGAAAAAAGGGAGGTGATTTAGTGCTGGGAAGACGTCCAGTTCAAACGGGTGTGCTCTGCAGACTACCAACTTAACATTAACTGGCTGCTGCAGGCAGACCTAAAGAGAGGGGTGTCCTATGCTTTACTGATATCAACTCCTCTTTGCTGGGGGAGGGGAGTGCTTCTGAATAGAAACTACCCAAACTGAGTTACACAGCTTTAGTGGCATAGTAACAGGGATTTAAGTTTACAGTAAAAACAAAAACAAAAACAAAAGCCTACTCCAATGATGACAAATCTATTTTTAAAACCAGTCTTATATAGACCATCTCTCTACGAAAAGATGGCAGAACAGAACGTCAGGAGGAAAGGTTTGGTCTGAAGAGGGTTATCTGTCCAGGAGACGCCTTATCCCCAAAGCAAAGCGCTTCAGTTTGCTGTGCGCAGGAGAGCACCTGTTGGGGGGAGAAAAGTAGAGCACCCAGAAAGTCCATGAACAAGTTCCAGTGGCAAGCGCCTCCTGTGCTGCTCAAAGGGTCCCCAATGGACTGTTCGCTCCAGCACAAGGCACAGTTTTCGAGCGAATGGATCGACATCCCACGGCCCCCCCGTCCCCGCTCGCACGGGCACAGCCAGTCATCTTTGCTCATGGAGTCTCCCGGCAGACAAGCATGCGCGCATTGTGCATTGCGGGCGCAGACTGAAATGCTGTGCGACCTGCAAAGAAACAATGTGAGGTGTACACCTAGAGGCGCTGCGCGTCGCAGGCGCGGGGGATTGGCAGCATCTCCTTCAGAAATTACTGCGAGAGAGGAGGAAAATCTGATCTGAAAAGCCAGCTAGGTAACTAGATTGAATTTGGGACCAGAAAGCCTTCGGCAGACCAATCCTTCCAGCCATCTGATGCGCAACATAAGGTTTCTCATAAAACAAAGAAAATGTCAATTCAGTTGTGAATTCATATTGATACCTGGAACTCTCCTGCTAGACCACCTCTAAAGGCCCAGGGTTCTTGGTCTCCAATTAAGAACTGTGCTGAAGAATGACTACGACACCCTGTTGAGATCAGATCCAAGCGGAGAACGTTACGAGAAAGGGGATTTCCCGGGGTCTCAAATGTCCAACAAACTAACACACACTTGTGGAAATAGCTCTCTAACAATCATAATCCAGGGTTTCAGGGCAAGGCTGTGATAATATTTTTTTTTTTTAGTTCATAATGGCATTTCAATATGAATGCTCCGTCCTCCAGTTAATGAAGAATCACTGCTCTCAGCTCTGCTTTTTGGAAGGAAAGGTAAGTCCCAAGTTTGTCTAGGTTGAGTTTACATATCCCCTCAAAACAGCTATACAAATCAAGCTAGCTGCTTGCTCTATCATGAAATTATAGTAACTATAATCTGAAATGAATGATCAAATAGGAGACGTCTTATTATCACAGCCCATGAAGGAATTAAACCTGTCTGAAGTCACATTTTACATTTTAAGGACAGGTACAGGAAAGGGAAAGGGGGGAGGGGATTAATCTTGTCAGAAAACTAAGGTCCACAGAATAAATAAAAGAAACTGCTACTAAGTTGGCAAAAGAAAACAATGAGAACTTTTGGGGGGGGGGAGCAAAGATAATCCAAGTGCAGACTTGGCTAGTTATGCCAGTCCAGTCCGACAGATTCTGAGAACTAAGGAGAGCCAAGTGACGACACTCTTGATGTGTCCAGAGCTAAAACATACTTTTTCTTACAAGTATAGCAGTATCTGTTTCCTCTGATCAGTCATTGTAATCTTTGCAATGCACTGAGCACAGGCATGGAGCACAGAAGTCAGTACTTAAGACACCACTCACCAATTTAGGCAGTAAAGCTAGCTAAGGATAAGATAATTAAAGGCAAACATTTGGAGGCCAAATCAAATCCCTGCCTAGTCTTCTGACAAGATAGAGCAGCGCAATATAGTTCTTTTCCATTGGAAGACAGCATTCTACCTCCTGTTCAAGTTAACAGTCTCATCAGTACAAGATACAGTGTGCTAGTCAGACAGTCCCAAAGCAAACCAATTTTGTGCTGACAATTCAGGCCCGTGAAGAGATTATATCTGGGTCTGTCGTTTTTTTAAGGGTAGGGGTATTTTTTAAGTATTTGTAAAATAAGTATGACATAGGGTCAAAATTTAGACGATGGAGGGAAGCCGGCCCATTTCAAAACTCAGTGTAAATTACACTGAGGAAAAACGACAGCTCTCAAACTTTAGATCAGCCAATTTCCCGTACCCCCTACTTTGAGACCACAACATAACTAGCACTTCCAACTAGTACAACAAAAAGCTGCATGTACGAAGAGCTGTGCAAATGAAAACATGGTTAATGCCTCAGTCGCTGCGCAAACGTGACTTCAGTTCATGCCTACTGCCCTTCAATCTACCTGAGCTACCTCACAGATAGAACCTTTCAACTTAAGCTAATTAATCACGACGCGCTGTGAGCATCTGCCGCTGTCCATCCAACAGTAGTAGACACTTGTGCTGAGGATTCTCCCATCTGCACACAATGGGGAAGAAGATAATAGAAGTCGTTAGTGATCAAAAGTACTGCACAGCCACATTGTTTAAAGGACTGAATGCCAGCTGGACTGGAGACAGGAGGAAAATGGAGGCTTCGATCAGTAACCCCTTAAGTGCCTACAGAACCAAGGAGACGCTCTCCCTGTCTGAACTTTTGTAAAGTTAAAGCTTCTCAAGACGCTCTGACCTAGGGACTGTGCAACAACTATCTGCACAATCTGGGAACGCTATCCCGTAGCTGGAGCACAGAGATGAAGCCTGAGAAGAGAGAAAAATACTGCACATAATCAAAACTTTGTTTTTAATAATTTTTGAACTAGAAGTCAAATATCAAGGATTTTCAGCGATACGTTCTCAAACTCAAAAGATTTCACGTACAAAATTCCTGAGGGCCTTGAAAACTTAATCACTGTTAAGGATCAGTAACTCCTCAGGTTTCTTCCGAGGTGTCTCCACACCTGTAAGAGGTATCTGGGAGCCTTTCAACAAGAGGGTAAGAATTCTCTCTTCTACCTATTGTGCTATACATACAGCAGCCCCCAAAAAGCTCTGTATTTTCAAAAAAACAGACTCTACTTTTAGCAGTTAATTAGTTGTTTCACAGGGAAACTGGTTTTTAAAAAATATTTAAGAGCCCAAAGTATACAGGCAGAAAGTGAAAAATCTCACTCTTCCTCCTTGTTAATTTAAGCTCACGGTGTTTCAGATATCTATTTTATAGCCAAGACCATGAAACCCATCACAGTATTTGTGACCACTATGAAAACTATGACATGCCGGTCAGCCTTGCTGCCTGCTGGGTGCCGTGTGTAAGTCCATTGCGTATTCCTTATTACCAGACTTGAAAACCTGGAAATGAAGTCAGGTCCCTGGAGAAACCTGGCCATGCTGGTGCTTTTTTAAACCAAGTTTGAGAATTAAAAAAAAACAAAACACAAAAATCAGTCTTCAAAGGAGACACATGAAGCAGAAATTTTTAGGGAAAGACAATTTCCACCCTTGGTTAAACCAATCACTTGGCAGAAAGATAAAGAAAAAGCCAAGTGAAATAATACCAGGAAGCACCAGAACAGCCTTCCGCTAGAGCTCGCATGCGCACAGGGCTGGGAGGAGAGCTTCCTCTGCCAGGCCCTTGAGGTGATCTCAGCAATCGTTCTGTTAAATACAGCATTAAGGTTATCAAGACACAGCAAGCAGCACAAGCTTCCAGATCACATTTCATAGTGTCTCATCTCCAAATCAGATACAAGTGGTATACAGGGTTCCATCCAGAAAGCATTCAGTCAGAGCAAGTTAAAGTCAGTACTTTCTAACATATTTTCAAGATACTTATGCTGAATTAGCCCAAGGGAGAAAAATGAAAATCTTAATGTAATACTGAGACTTGCATCTCATGTCTTCAACAATGCCTACCTTTGAAAGAAACCTAGGCAAAGAATTGAAAAGATTTGGAAATTCGCCAATTCCCCAAATGTTTTCTCCCTGTGGGATAATTGTCTTAAGGGACAATCATTTGAGGAGAAGAGATTATTCCTGGTGCACCTACCTAACCACTGTACAAAAGACTTCACCATAGACATTATACTCTTGATATCCCACACATAGGAGTACATGTCATAAAGGATCGTCCTGTTGGCACAGTTGGAGAGCCGGGTGAACATGCCCATCACCAGGCCACACATCTCTTCAAACTTGGCTGCTCGAGACCGCCATTCTTCGATCTGTTGCGGATCAATCAAAACACAAGAAACAGCAAGCTTAACAGAATCGCCTAAGACGCAGTTATAAGTTAAGTTCTTTTATCCTATCAGGCACCTGCAATTTATCCTAACCATTAAAGTATCACTCTGTATCGCCCTACAGCCCCAAAAGATCCAAATCTTATCTATCAAAAATGATGCATTTGTTCTTACATGTCTAAACTTCAGTCACCTTCCAAGCACTCTCCATTTGATGCAACACGCCTCTCGAGACACTTTTCCCAGTGCTCAAGACAGTTTTTGAACCGTCAGTTTTGATGCCTTTTAGTGCTTCTGAAGCTTTTCCTTTCACCTGTTCCACCCTGACATAATGTTCCCCTTCGAGGACCTTTTCTGTCTCGGAAACCAAGAACGTTGCTCGGGGTGAGGCTGGGCGAACAGGGAGGGCGGGGCACAGGGCTCCTGCCGTTTTGGGTCACAAACTGCTGCGTACCCAGCGCGGTGTGGGCAGGCGCACTGTCCTGATAGAAGAGCCAGCCACCTGCTTGCCACAACTCGGGATGTTTCTTCTGCAAATTGTGACACGGCCTTCTCAAAGCTTCCAGATAAAAACTGTGGTGGACTGCTGGGTCTGGAAGAACAAATGCTGGGTGTGCTACAAAAGGACCCACACTCCAAAAGACAATTCCGGGCTCTTTTGGGTCCTCCCTTGTAATCTAAATAATCAACAATGACTTTCCCTCAATCCTAACTAGAAGGTCAACTAAGAAACAGAAGATGCCGGATTCAGGACTCCACATCCACTTTAAAGAATATATTCTTCTTTTTTTGTTTGTTTTTGAGTTGGAGTCTCAGTCACCCAGGCTAGAGTATAGTGGCATGCTCACGGCCATGCAGTCTCGACCTGCTGGGCTCAGGTGATCCTTCCGCCTCAGCTTTTCAAGTAGCTGAAACTACAGGCAGGCCATCACCACGCCTGGCTAGATTCTTGATGTATTATACAGATGAGGTCTCACCAAGTTGCCCAGGTTGGTCTTGAACCCCTGGTCTCAGGCAATCCTCTCGCTTCAGCCTCCCGAAGGGCTGGGATGACAGCCTTGAGCCACCGTACCTGGCCTAAAGAACATATTCTAAGCCAGGCGCGGTGGCTCACGCCTGTCATTCCAGCACTTTGGGAGGTGGAGGTAAGAGGACTGCCTGAGCTCAGGGGTCTAAGACCAGCCTGGGCAACTTGGTGAGACCTCATCTCTACAACAAATCAAAAAATACGTTGGGCATGGTGACTCAAAAAATAAAAAAATAAAAAAGAACATATTCTCGCCAGGCTTGACGGCTCAGCCTGTAATCCCAGCACTTTGGAAGGCCGAGGTGAGTGGACTGCCTGAGCCCACAGGTTGGAGACCAGCCTGGGCAATTGGCGAGACCTTGTCTCTACAATAAATCAAAGATTAGCCGGGAGTAGTAGCACGTGCCTGTAGTTTCAGGTACTTGGAAGACAAAGGCGGAAGGATCGCCTGAGCCCAGCAGGTCATTGCTGGGGCGGTCATGAGTGTGCCACTGCATGCCAGCCTGGGCGACAGAGTGAGACTCCAACTCAAACAAACAAAACAAACTCTAAAATATGGTCAATTATCTGCCAGTTACCAATCAATGTACTTATCTAAGAACCTTCTCCACATTACCAGCGTGGAAAACCGTCAAGGACAGAGAAACAGGTGTATTTACACACTCACCTTTTCAGAGTCTTTTCCTTTGCAGTTGACACTGACAACACTGCTGTTCGCGCGAAGCCACTGGAACTCCCGCAGCATCTGTGCTCCTTTGGGCCCGTGCTCGTAGGGAAGGTAAAACAGATCAGCAAGCAGCTGCAAATCCTCCAGGGTCACCGGCTCTGCGGCGTACAAGGGCTTTTCACCCGGGCCCGGCACAAACGGCTCCCTGCCCGTCTGCTCATCAGTCTGCATGGGGGCAATGTCACCAATGCCATCTTCCTGCATTGACATCTCTGGGGACTTGGACTCAGCTATGCTCTCTTTGTCAGTGTCCATGGGCTTCAGCTCCTCTGCCATTTTAGCTTCAACAATCTCACTCAGTATGTGATTGTCATTCTTGTGGTCTGTTTCTTCTTGTTTCTCCACTACCATGTCCATGGGTTCTTCATCAGACTGCTTCTTTTCTTCCTCCTTGGCAAGAGCTGTGGGCTCACCACTCAAGGCTGCCCCCTGGCTCATAATGGGCTCCTGGTAAACGGTTGTGACCACAGTTGTGGCATTTAAAGAGGGTGCTGCAACTAGCGGAGCCCCGTCGACGACACTTGCTTTCGCACCACTGTGTGCCACCTGCCGGCCTACAGAGTCAACAAATAAAAGATCACAGAGGCCGTCGAACTAGTCGTGGAACAAGTGGGGTTTAGAGAAATGCTTTCTTCTGATCATATCTGTAAAGTGAAACCTCAATTTGAGATTCCAGGTATTCGAATGCTGAAAAAAATGCAATTTCTCTAAACCGCCAGACACAGGAATGGAGAGGGAACAGGAAGAACAGGTAACAAACACCCCTAAATACGCCAGCATCTTTTATTACATTCTCATCTGAAGATCTGTATTTAAAAACACTTAAGGGCAACCCTCTCAGGTCCCCTCCCACTGTGGCAGCTTTTCTGTCCTCTCAATAAATCCTGCTTTAAAAAAAAACCACTTAAATAAGGTACGGTGGTTCACGCCTATCATCCCAGCACTCTGGGAGGCCAAGGCAGAAGGATTGCCTGGGCCAGAAACTCAAGTTGTCTACAAAAACAGAAAAATTAGCTGGGCATGGTGATGTGCATGCACCTGTAGTCCCAGCTACTCAGGAGGTTGAGGCAGGAGGATCACTTGAGCCCAGGAGTTGGGAGGCAGTGAGCCATGATCGCACCACTGCACTCCAGCCTGGACGACAGAGTGAAGCCCTGTCTCCAAAACAATAACAACAACAAAAACACTTAAACAACTATTTCAAAAAAGATCTTTTAAGACAAATTAGCATTTTAAAAAGTAAGCTTTTTTTTAAAGCCTTATTCTCCAAATCCCTAAATTTCATTAGTTTCACCTTGCCTAGTGGGCTTTAGGTAAGGCACACGACAGTGTTCTTCACGTTGTGACACAGCCATGTGACCCAACCCCTGCACAAGGAATGGCCAACTCACTGCTGTACTGATGAGGGACGGCAAACTCCTGCAGCCACTCCGTCAGAGCCAGCTTCAGAGCAGTCTGAGGACTGTAGAGGACGTCTGTTTCAATGTCCTCATCACTGCCTTCATTCTCTAACTTTATCTGGATGGACACAGTACTGTCTTCACTGTCAGCTGCAAAGAAAAGGGCACAAAAATCACTTGATGACAGAAGCTCCTGACAAGTGAGAGGGATAGATGCAACTAATTGTTACAGAACAACCAGAAGCCAAGAACGGGAAAGAGAACAAACATGAAACATAAAAATGCAAACAAGAGTATGTAAAAATCACAGCTGAAATACATGACACCAATTTTACAACCATTGGAAAAGTTGATCTTCAACGCCCCCCGAGGACCAATTGTTGGGACTGCAAAATCAAAAACTCCCCCTAGCCAGGCTCGGTGGCTCAGCCTGTAATTCCGCCCCTTTGAGAGGCTGAGGTGAGTGGACTGCCTGAGCCCGCGGGTTCGAGACCCGCCTGGGCAGGCGAGAGCTCATCTCTACAATAAATCAAAAAACTAGCTGGGTGTGGTAGCGCGTGCCTGTAGTTCCAGCTACGTGGAAGGCTGAGGCGGAAGGATCGCTGGAGCCCAGCAGGTCGAGGCTGTGGGGGCCGGGAGCAGCCAGTGCACTCCAGTCTGGGCGACGGAGTGAGACTCCAACTCAAAAAAAAAAAAAAACTCCCCCTAAGGAAAACATTCCCTAGCCTTCAACAGAGCACCGACATGTTAGCACACGCACACAAGACAATGAAGCTCTGAGCCAGGACAGTGGCAGGGAAATTAAGCCTGAACTCCCTGGTTTGCCATTAAAAACACCCAGTTCCTAGCTCTCCCTATGCTCTCCTTCACTCATCCTTGTGTGCTTAGTGTCTGCTACTCTTTTTTCTCGAGTCTAGGGTCTCACTCAGTCACCCAGACTGGAGTGCAGTGGCACACTCACGGCCACCCATGTCGACCTGCTGGGCTCCAGTGATCCTCCCACCTCAGCATTACAAGTAGCGGGAACTACAGGCACACGCTACCACACCCAGCTAATTTTTTGATTTATTGTAGAGATGAGGTCTTGTCAAGTTGCTGGGGCTGGTCTTGAACCCACGGGCTCAGACAATCCAGTTGCCTCAGCCTCCCAAAATGCTTGGGATTATAGGCTGAGCCACCAAGCCCAGCCATTGCTACTCTTGATACGCACCATTCTCTAACTTAAAAAAGATATGGATGTTAAGTACCATGTACGCAAAGGGGACTGACAGTCTACTCCTAACTTTTGTTTCTTATTGGGGACAGGAGGACGACAACGGCTGAGCCATAAAGGGAGGTGTTAATTCAATGCACAACTGAAAGCAGGGGTACAGAACATAGAAATGGACCGCATCCGCTGGACACGATGGCTTATGCCTGTCATTCCAGCACTTTTGGGGGCAGAGGCAAAAGGACTGCCTGAGCTCAGGAGTTCGAGACCAGCCTGGGCAACATGGCGAGATCTCATCTCTACTACAAAAAAAAAAAATTAGCCAGGCGTGGTGGCCAAGTAGTTTCAGCTACTTGGAAGGCTGAGGTCGAGGACTGCCTGAACCCAGCAGGTCAAGGTTACAGTGGCCGTGAGCACGTCCCTGCACTCCAGCTAGGGCGACAGAGGGACTTCGACCACTCCATAAAAATAAAGGACACGGACCACAGCCATGCAACTACAAACCAAGTGTCATAATATGACACTTCAGTAGTCTAAAATGGGCAAATTCAGAGAGCTTCAACATGTCAGTGTTCACTGTGTTTACCTCCAGCCCATGAACCTTTCATGCCCAGCAAACTCTTAAACTTTGACTCAGCTTAAAATTCTGTGAAATCAGGCCAGGCATAGGGGTTCACACCTGTAATTCCCACACTTTTGGAGGTCAAGGCAGGAGAATTGCTTGAGGCCAGGAGTTCCAAGACCAGTCTGGGCAACATACTGAGATTCTATCTCTACAAAAAAAATTTAAACATCAGCCAGGAGGAGTGGCGTGCATTTGGAGTCCCAGCTACTCGGGAGGCTGAGGTGGGAGGATCACCTGAGCCCAGAAAGTTGAGGCTGTGGTGAGCCATGACCTTGCCACTGTATTCCAGCCTGGGAAACAATGATACTCCGACTCAAAAAAAAAAAAATGTGAAATCATCTCTCACCACCACTCTTGCTTAGCAGAAACAATCACCTTTTCCTGTGTTCACACAGCACTTTGCAGATAACTATCACAACACTAGCACACTACACGACAACTGCCTATAAGCCTTATCCAATATTAGACTGGTTTTCAAAAGAAAGAACTACTTTATCATTTGCAACCTCAGTGCCCAGGAAGATGAACCTGCCACGTATTAGATTAGTTAAATGTAAATAAATCAACAACTACCAAACATTCTCTTACTTTGAGCTCTTAATTAGGGACTTTCCATAGGCAAAAAATAGTAAGGCAACATCTAAAATAAGAACGTTCCATAAATGAAAGATGAAGCTAAATGACATATTAACTTAGATAAGAATATCTAGGCTGGGCTCGGTGGCTCAGCCTGTAATCCCAGCACTTTGGGAGGCCAAGGTGAGTGGATTGCCTGAGCCCACGGGTTCGAGACCCGCCTGGGCAACTTGGCAAGACCTCATCTCTACAGTAAATCAAAAATCAGCCGGGCGTAGTAGCGCACGCCTGTAGTTCCCAGCTACTCGGAAGG